TCAGTTTCAAGTTTTCTTAACTAAAAAAAAAAAAAGAAAAAAGAAAAAGAATTGAATAGGAAAATAACATTATTCAATATTTTACTTCACGTAGTTCAAGTTCAGCTTGACGTTTTTCTTCATATGCATTTCCTCGTACTTCACTACGACGTTTAATTATTTTACCAGTTATTTCACGTATACGATCTTGAATTTGTCGATCACGTATACGTCTAAATAAAGATTTTAAAAAAAAGCCAATATAAATATATTTCAATCAAATCAAAAGAAAATTCTAATTCTAAAGAATATATCTATACACTACTGAAAGCCTTTGCTTATGTTCATGATTAGTCATTTAAAGAATTCATTCTCAGATGATTATTGGTTGAACAAAATTTATAATATAATTTGGCGTCAACCAAATAATATGTCAGAAATCATTGTTAAGAACGAAAAGCGAAAAAATACATAACATGCAATTCATAACTATACGTTTACTTTACTATCAAGGTTAACAATTAGCAATTCAATGTGGTAAAACCGTGAAAAAAAAACAACTTAATTTGTTTTTTTTCATTATGCATAATAAATATTGATAACTTTCGTATTTTTTATGTTATTACGTTGTATATTAAATATGATTATGCATAATTATAATTGAGAATATTAAGATCGAACTGAGAAGAGAACAAATATTTGAAATTTCGTCGAGGCCAAGAATGAAACTACAAGAAAAATGTTTTGCCGATGGAAACGAAACATTATTTGTTAAATATTCTATGATTTTAAACGAACTATATAATAAATTATTAATCCGAATATTATTCAAAAAAAAGGAATATAGAAGAAAATTTTTCGATGTGAAGTGAATGAAATCGAAATGGAGAGTAATTATATAAGAAATAACTACGTTTTTTGGCTAGAATTTTACTAAAATACAGTTACACTGTTGATTATCAGTCGTATTTACCTCTCTTCTTCTTCTCGCATCGCACTTTCAGGTGAACGATTACGACGACTTTCATATCTGATTGCTTTTTCGACCATTTCCTGTTGATCTTTGTCCATAACGGAAATATAATGAGGATCAATACCGAATGGTGCTTGTACAACTGCTTCTTGATAGTCTTATTTTTTTTTGTTCATTCAAATAAAATATATATATTTTTATAAAAAACAAAATTACCTTTGCCTTTAACAAGACGTTTTCGATGTAATTTTTGTTGATTAGTACGATAATCTTCTTTCCACTCATGTAATAATTCTTTATTTTTTACTTTTTGTAATTCTTCATTTATTTTTATATGATGATGCTTTAATTAAAATAAACAAACAAAATAATTATTCTTTTTTTTTTTTTTTGTTGTTATTGTTGATTATTTTAAGTATGAGAACATACTTTCATACGTATAAGTCGTTGTTCTTCTCGTGCTCGAGCTGCATAAGCATCTCCCACTGGATCATTTGATATTATTTGTGTTAGTTGATTGTTTTTTTTTGTTATTGTCTTTGTTTTTCTAAACAAATAAAATATTAGAGAACAAAAAAAAAAAGAATTCCTTTTCTTTTTTTTTTTTTTTTGATTAAATTAAGATAACAACACTTGAGAAACAAATGAAGCTCACTCTCTCTCTCTCCTTTGCTCGTTATTGCAATAGCAACAAATCAACCAGTCAAACATAGTGGTACAATCAACAACAGGATACAAAAAAAAACACGACAGAGAGAGAGAGAAAGAACGATTGAAAGTGCAAGACGTGCACAGACTCATTGATACTAATTTGTTTTTTTATATAGAAACAACCAACATACACTCGAGGAAGTTTGATATCAGACTTAGCTCGTTGTCGACATGATGGTGAAGGATGCATACGCATTTCCGAATAACTCACTCTCTGTTGATGTATACATGATTGAAGATGAGTAGTTAACGGATTTGCAATAGCTGATTTATAGTAGCTCGCTTCAGATCTATATATGTAAATAAGGACTAGATGAGCAAAACTTATGCTCGAAATCATTTCACCAAAATATTTAAAAAAATATGGTGAATGATTTTATTATTTTTTTTTTGCTACTATCAAAATACTTAGATTTTCGAAGGAGTATCAACGATGGACGAGATATAAGGGTAGAAGGTTGAGAAGACCTTGCTATTCGTCGTTGTTGATCATCATTATCATCATCAGATGATGCCCAAACATCTTGTACAATATTAGTTTGTTGTTCATCATCATAATAATTTTCATCTTCGGAATCAGTTTTTTGATTTGTACATTTTGAATGATGAATATGTTCATTACGTAAATATTGTTGAATTGCTTTAATACCGTGTTTAACTATTTCCAATGGTGGATGATCTAATGGATTACCATCGAGATTAAGCGCTGATAAACCTTTTAATTTACCTAAATCAATATATATATATGTTAGGAACGATATTAAAATTGAACTAGAAGTAAATGGACCAAGTTGAAGACAATTATAGTTTAAATGAATCAAGAGTTTTTACTTTTTGTTCAAAAAATATTGTTGTATATCAAATATCCATACAAATTAGGTTGTTCCAAAGAATTTAGATCGTTTATTATAGATACTTTCAGAGATAATAAGATGCAAACAATTTGAAAATTTAGAAAAGTTTACAATGTTTTCGCAGTGAAACTTATAAAAATAATGTTAATACAAATTAGAAAAGTCGAAGAAAATTCAAATATGCCAAAAGCATCAAGTGTCGGTAGGCTCAATATTTATTCAGATCAGATTTTGAATAGCATATTCAATACTAAAAACTAATTTTCGTTTAATTTCGGCCTTAGGGCAACACCACAGGACAAAGTATTTGATGCGTGAATAATTATATCCTAGTAATATGACGAGTAATATAAAAAAAAAAACAGATTCGGATGTGGATGTACTTGTTCTCTTCATCTATTTCCCAGCTCTAATAAACACATATTTTTCAAGCATCGTCAAAAATTTTTGAAAAACAAATGAGACCCTATTAAAACAGCTGAAAGACAGCTCAATTCGTAAAAGGATACTATTACTAAAAGAAAGATAGTACGATTTTTATACAAAGAGTCCTATTTTAAAATATCTTAATATCAAAATATTTTCCCTAATGCATAATGCTGGTATTTGACAAGATCTTGACCATCAAACAAAACTTTTCTGATACTTTGTAATGAAAGCATTAATTAAAAACTACTAGCTCTTAGAATTTATGAGAGTCGATTAAAAGTAGTCCGAAAAAGTATGTTCGAAATTTCAACGTGAGAAATCTTTCGTTCAGATTTAAATTAATTTCTGATACGTGACTAAATCTCTATGTATTTATCTTAATATCAATTTTTCGAATGAAAGTTGAGTTTTTTGTTTTTGAGTAGAGATGCTTTAGTGAGAAATTCGAATGGCAAATTTTTTGTTGCACTCTACTGTATATACATATGAATTTAAAACATAAACTTTACCAAGTTGAACAGGTAGTGTTCGAATTAAATTTCCACTTAATAATAAATATCGTAATGAATTATGTTTATCGAGACCAAGACTCGGAATATGAGTGATTTTATTGTTGCGTAAATCAATCCATTTTAAATAAGGTAATCGAAGAAATAAATCATTTGGTAATTGTGTTATTTCATTACCTTCTAAATATAAATACTAAAAAGAGAAAAAGAAAAATATCGATGAATTTTTTTTTTTTGTTAAAATCGAATTATTTTAATACGAATTTACTTGCAATGAAGGAAATTCTAATAATGTTGATGGAAATTTAGTAATATTTTTTTTTGAAAGATCAAGACAATTATAATCTTGTTGTTTAGCTTGTTTTATAAATTGAGTAAGTTCATCTTCTTCTTGATTTTCATTAATATGAAGAATTTCATCGACTTGATCATGTACTTCAGGTGAAAGATCATTATTTTTAATTTCGTCTTCACAATCTTTTTCTTGTAGATCTAATTCAGGTGATGAAGACAATGATAATTCAGATAAATTATCATCAATATCATTTTTTAATGATTTATTATCTTCTTCTTCATTTTCGGATAGATCTGGTTGAAATTCATTATCATTCGTCATATTCAAATCAACATTTATAACAATTTATTATGTAAATACTTTCGAAGTATGAGTACTTTATTTTTATTCACACCATGTTTTCTATTACGTTAGTCAATTGCAACCTAGCAACAGCAGCTTTATACAAAAAAAAGAATCTAACGCCATCTTCCACAAACATTAACAATATTATATTTTGATTACATTGAATGACAATATTCAACATGTTTTGAACTGTTTTATAAATTTGTTTAATAAATATGTAATATATACTAATGATCTTTTTCAAATGAAAATAATGCTAAGCTGATTGAGATTTTCTTCTGAATTCAATATGAACTGCATGTATTATTATGTATATAATTCTTTCTTTAGAGTGAATCTATGTCATCGAGCAAACGTATTGAGAAACTTATCTCGAATACAAATTTTTCTATACTAATGTTAAATAAAAACTTATATAGTAGTTTCGAATATCTTTTTTCTATAGAAATTTTTTTTTTGTATTCGCGCCTGATTGATATTCATTATTTTTTATTTTAATTAAACGAAATAAGCTATTGCTATTATCTACTAATTCTCATCATTTTACCAAAATCTATTTAAAGCTCAAATAGCATTAGACTATGAAGAAAAAAAATTATTATTAAATAATAATACTCATTTAAAGATGAATCAATTTCAACATTCTCAATCTTCACAAAACAATATTATGAATATTACAAAAAAGATAGATCATAAATTCAATTCAATTGAAAATAAAACTTTCAATCCAAATCAACAGAATCATAATGATGAAAATATCATCAAATTATTATACAATCATTTACATCGACCACTTTCTCAACATTTACGACCTCGTGAATTATATACAAATGAATGGTTTTATACAAAAAGTAATGATATTTTATTTGATTAATAATAGAAATGAAAAAATTAAATTCATTGTTTTAATTGTTAACTTCATTATTAACAATTTTTTCTTCATTTTTTTTATTGTCGTTTAATGATTTTCTTGGTAATTGTCGAATTAAAATATGTGATCGACTATCTATTGATGTATTTATTGTTGTACTACTAATATCCATTTGATTAAATGGATTTTGTGGTATAACAGTTGTTACAATTTGTGATAATGGTCCATGTAAATCAGAATGATGATACAATGAATTATCAATAGGAAATGATCTAATCATAAATATTAAAGTAAAAAATAAACCGAGAAAAAAACAAATACAATTTCTTACTTATGAAATGCTGCTGTTGTTGTATAAGCGTGACCAAATTCATCATAATGAGATACAGGATCAACTTTAGTCCAATGTGTTTTTCCAGTATAAAATGGAATATTTGTTTTACTAGAAAGAAAATATATTTAACATTTTGGCAACGGAAACTTTATACATATATATATATACGTTTTAAGCTTTGATGCAGATTTTAACTTGTATGACTATCTATCTTCACCAGATAGTCATAATATTCTCTGTTTTTCTTAGGTAGCTAGTATCACACGGCATCATCGTACGATACTCGAGAGAGGAAGAATAACAGAGACTTCAGTGTTGAAGTCTTGTAAAGTCTTATCAAGAAGAAAACAACAAAATTCCATACTTCAACGTGTTCTAAGGGTATATAACGAACATATTAGTTTTAGTTCATTTTATAGAAATTTTTGTGGCAGAAAGATTTATTTAGAATGAAGACAAATTAATACACTCGTAACAGGTGTCCATAGTATATTTGAAATAGTTAACAAGGTCTCAAGAATACCTTTTGCATATCCTTAGAGTACACTGAAGTATGATGTTTTCGCGTTGCATGAAGAATCTTCATTCGCATTTAACATTTCTTCATGAATTTTTTTAATATTTTTGGTAAGATAAGCAAAAGAGACAGCCTTTTCTCGAGCTCCTCAAGATGAGATACCCTGAATAATACCAAACGATAGATCTGCTCGAGAATTTTTGGAATGTCTACATTCAAAATCTTTTATAACAACATGAATTCCGTAAAACGATTCCAGAACCATTTTTATTCGATGAATGTAGGACAACAACTAAAGCTCTTTTATTATTGATCATTAGATGACTCAACAGTATCTGCTACTTTTTATGACATATACTCTTCATTTCAAGCTTTTATGAAAAAAAAAAGACCGAAAAATCTTTAACTTACAAAGGATTGAGTGAAAATTTTGGTTGTTCAGTACGAAGTACTGTATAAGGTTTAAAATCAATTTCTGGATTATCAATATCTTGTAGATTATAACCACCAATTGAACCTGAATAACCAGGTATCTGTTGTGCACGTCGTAATGGTTCAACATTATTAAAAGGTTTTTGATTGTAATGAATATTTCGTGATTGTACACGATCCCATTGAAGAATATTACATGTACGTGAATCAAGAAATGATGAATGACTTTTCGATTTTAATAATGGATCACTACCATTAACTTCATAAGTTGTTAATGGTACTGGCAATTTTGGTGGTAGTTTTGAATCTAATAAATTTTTCATTTGAAGAAACAAAAAAATAAAATTAAATAATTGATGATGTATTTTATTTTACCCCATGGTATTTCATCAAAAGCAGCTTGTTGCATGGATGTACACATAAAATGATGAGCGAGTTGATTGCGATGTAATTCATTCGTTTTTAAGCTTTGTTGTTGTTTCGAATTAGATGTAAGATTTCGAAGATAATCTTCAGCTTGTTTACAATCTTCTCCAGGATTTAGTGTACCTAAAAAAGAAGAAAATTTACGAAAGATATCATAGAGAAAAATTACCACCGGGACCTAATCGACTACGAATAGTTCGATCTAAAACTAGTCGATCTGTAAAACGAGGTACAATTTCTTTATCAGAATCTTGTTCATGTCTGAAGAATAAAAAAACAAAACTTCGTATATCGATTCAAATTTTTGTTAGATTTTTATCATACCGAAGTATAGTAATAGCTTCTGGATGACTACGCACTGTTGTAATTTGACTTGGTATAATCTGTTGAGGATCACGACGAGTTTTTCCCAATGAAAGTTTTGCCAAGGCTTTATTTGACACATCCAATGGTCGATGATAAACTCTTTTAGGTGGTTGAACAAAACTTTCATCTATTTGTTTACGTACAACACTTTCGAAATGTCCTTCTGTATCATAGCCAACATCTGAATTATCCAAATGTAGACGAGTATTTGTGTTAGGTTTGCGTTGTAAACGATAGAGACGTTTAACTTGACGTTTATCAACAACTGTTGGTCCCCGACTATCATCAGTAGTCAAAAATGTTTCAAAACCTGGTCGTGTTAATTTATTTGAATTTTCAAGACAATAAGTTTGTGTAGCAACAACTTGCGGCATGATCAGTTAAATAACAAATAGATTCAAACTATTACCATTTACATGTTATGATGCTTGGCAACAATTCTTTAGTTTGATTTTCCAAGTTTTTTACATGTCGCTAATAAATGAATTATTTTGAGAGACATCTGTTGGGAAAAATTTATTATGAACGACAATAAGTTGTTCGGAAATACATATTTAATTGAGAAAGTTTTAGTTCCAAGCTCTTCATTGTCAACATATCATTTAAGTAATATAGTGCTAAAGAAGTTTCAGATAAAATCTTTAATATTCTCCTTGTTGAGATATATATACAAAAGTTTCCTACACGATTAATCAGTTTTGACTTGGGATTATTGCCTTGCATTCAATATATTTGAAGTTAATGTTGTGGTGTCTAATCGGAAACATAGAGAAAACTAATTTTCGAATATCGTCTTGAAACTTTCCACAGATATGAGCGCTGATGAGAATAATTTATGATGGAAGTTTAAGGTCTTTTCGTTGTTTCTATAGTAAGATACGACTATGAAAAAAACGCTTTTTTTCCAGCTGAATATTTATAGCTCATTAGAATCTATATGATGAACATTCCAAGAGATGTGATCTACCATATCTACCTTAAATATTCATTAGAAATTCTTTTAATTTCGAAGAGATGTACTAAAGTTCTCTATGGTAATATTCTTAAGTGAATCTAAACAAAAGCTGAAAACAACCTATGATCAACTCCACTTGCTGTTAATTGTATGTGCTGCTACAAGTATGATGCTATACATTTTGATTAATGTTAGCGATTGATATATGACATCATCATATTTCATATTGACGTCTAATTATGGGAAGATTAAATACAAAAAGAAAGTTTTTTTTTTTGTATCACCGATTAATCTTCATGCAGATTTGTTTTTCCCTATATGTTCTATTCTACAAAACTGCTATTTCTTTTATTTATTAGTCACTTGATGCTCCCTCTGGATGTAGCGAAGACATTTTGTTTTTAATTAGACTCTGAAGTCCCGCTAAAAATCTCTTTTAGTATTAAAATTCATCTATTAGATCTATGATTTAAAATTTAAAATTATGGAAATGTTTAATCCACACATAAAAGCAACAGTTTTTATTATTCAAAACAATTCCCTATACAAAGAAAAAGAAAAAGAAAAAAAGAAACAACGACTAGTCAACATGCACACTTGGTTATACAATAATTATACAATACTAGCTCGTGTCTGATAATTTGATGTGACATTATACCATCCACTATTACTAATTGTTGATGATGATGGTGATATTGTATGTTTTTTCTCATTATTATTTGTTATTGATGATTTTGCAAGCATTTTATCAAGTAAAAGAATTCCATTAAGTAATGGTGGTGGTTGTGGTTGTGGTAATTTTGTTTGAATATCTTTTATTGATGGATTAAGTATTGTTTGTAATGTTGGAAAATCATTTGATTGTGTTCGTGGTAAATCTGTTAAAATAGGTGAATTTTGATTTATATTTGCTATTGATATATCATGTTTTGTTTGTTTTGGTAATGTACTAAATGTTGATGATGTATTTTGAAATAAATCATTAAAAACATTATTTGTTGGATTAGTTAATGTTGCTTGAAAACTAACATTTTTTGTTTGTTGTCGACGTGTTGATTTTCGTGTAAGAGTTGTTAATGCTGATACAGTTGATGATGGTAGATTTTGATGATTATGATGATGATGATGATTATTATTATTATTATTATGTGAACGATCAAGATCTGATGTTGATGATGATGATGTACCATTGAATGGACAAGAAAGAAGTGATGAAGAAAATTCAGCATCTGTTGTCGATGGACTATTAGCACATGGAATTTGTGAATTCTGAACAAAGAATTATATGATTAATATCAAATTTCCTTTTTTTTAATTTAAATAGTTCTTTTTCTTTTTTTTTTTTTATTAGCTCATAAAACAAAGAGACTGTCATATTTTTCTAATAGAGAAAGAGAAGGTCATTAGTAGCCACATGGCCATTCGAAATGATATGCATGCGCTCAGTTGAGCAAGAAAAAACAATCATCATCACTCGATTGATCCTATGTAAACGTATCGACGTAAAGGGCAAAAATTCTAGTGTTGATATATATACTCCAAAAAATAAAATGAATGACACACTCAAGATATAAACACATTAGTATAACTTACTTTTCTTTGTTTAGTAATAATAGTATAATCATTACTATGAATTGATGGTAATATAACGGTTGTTGATTTTGTTTGTGGACTATTTTGTTTTGATTTATCTTCATCATTAACAATTAATCTACTACCATATAATTTTTTTTCAACATTTTTTCTTATACATATATAATAAATAATAAAAAAAATAATAAAACTCATTATAATAAAAAATATTAAAATAATTATAATTAATATTGAAAATTTTTTAAATGTTTTACTCATATTATTAAATAAATTTAATCTTAATAAATTTCGTTCATTAATAATAATATGTAAAAATTTTTTTGTTTCAAATTCAAAATTTTTTGCTTGAAGTTCTATTTTATATAGACCAGGTAATATTGATGAATTTTTTAACCATAATGAATTATTTAAATCAATATAAAAAAATTCATTATTTGATATTGTTAAATTAATTAATGAATTATTTCCTAAATCATCATCTCGTATAATAATATCAGTTATAAATTGTGCCAATGGATTATTTATATCAATATGTTCTGAATGATCATCAGAAAGTATATGTTGAATTTCATTTGTTTCAGGCCATATAAATACAGGAGGATTATCATTTATATCCCTATGTATAAAATAAAAATATAAATAAAAATTTTCTAAATAAAAGAAAAGAAAGTTTTTTTTTTTTTCAATACAAAATTTTTATAGTAACAATTGTTGATCCAAATGTTGAATTATCAGTTGCAATAACTGTTAATTTATATTCATCTTGTAATTCTCTATCAAATATAAATTTTGTTGAAATTTTTCCATCATTATCAATAATAAATAAATCTTCATAATTTCCTAATGTATAACTAATTAAATCTTTATAATCTTGATCATATGCTTTAACTTGTCCAATATATTTTATTATTGTTCGATTTTCATATATTGAATATTCATAATTATCTTTTTCAAATTTAGGTGAATATTCATTTATATTTATTATATTTATTTGTATATTAACATATGATTCAAGTGATGGTTGTCCATGATCATGTGCACATACTTGAAATTTATATATACGTCGAATTTCATAATCAAATGATGTATTTGTTGATAAAATACCATCATTTGATGTTATAAAAAAATATGATGATTTTGGTATTATTGTATATGTTATTTGTCCATTTATACCTTGATCATAATCATATGCATGAATTTGACCAATTATTGTTGGTATACGATTATTTTCAATTAAATCAAATGTATAATTTGTTTTAAAATATGGTATTTGATCATTTATATCAGTTATATTTAATTCAAATGTCATTGAACGACGTAAACTTGGTTGACCAAAATCACGTGCACGTAATTCAATTTTATAATATGATAATGTTTCACGATCAAAATTATTTATAGATTTTATAGCATAATAATTCGGACGTATTAATTCAAGATTAAATAAATTATGAGGTTCAATTGTTAATTGAGCCTAAAAATTAATATTTATGAAAAAAGTCATATAGATATAATATTCAAGTAGTGTTGTATTTTGTATTTATGCTCTTATAAATAGGTCTTAACCTTCTTAGAATTTTTAATTATCTGTTCGACAGAGAAAATTCGATTGGACTCAAGTTAACATATGATGTAAAGAAACTATATATCGATATATTATTATCGAACACGTGTTAATATTTCCTTGACATCATATGAAAAGATAAAGATAAATTGTTAAAATTAATTCAATTTTATCTATTTTTCTCTAATTCAATCAAGATCAAATATATATATTTTTTTTCTTAACATACTTTTCCACGATCATCTGAATCTTGATCATATACGGTAACAAAAGCTATTGGTAAATTAATATCAAAAGATTCTTTTACATAAGCCATATTTCCATCTTGATTATATTCAAATATTGGATTAAATTTCATTTGTATAGATGGTGCATGATCATTTTGATCAAGTACATATATATAAATAATACATGTATCACTTAATGGATTAATACCATTATCATGTACTTGTACATTTAATTGATAAAATTTATGTAATTCATAATCAAATGCTTGATTTAATTTTAATATTCCTGTACTATTATCTAAATAAAAAAGATTATCATAATTATTTTCTAATATATATATTAATTCAGCATTTGAATCAATATCATTATCAATAGCATGTATTTTAAGTAAATATTCTGGTATTGTATTTTCAGCTACTGTAATATTATAAATAGATAATTCAAAACGTGGTCGACTATCATTTATATCACTGAAAATACAAAAATTTATTTCAAAAAAAAAAAATAATAATTTTCTTACAGTATTTCAATGATTAATGTTTGTATACCAATATTTGGTGGTTGTCCACGATCAATAGCCATTAATTTAAATAAATATTTTTCATTAATTTCACGATCTAATTTTTCTTTAACAATTAATTCTAATTCACGACTATGATTATCATAAACAATAGAAAATTGATATTGTTCATTATCATTCATTGATTCTAAATGATAATTATCAATACCATAAGATAATGAATCTAAATCAATAGCTATTTCAAGTGGTATACGATGTCCAATAGGAACATTTTCAGCCATAAATATTTTTGATTCGATTTGAGAAAATTTTGGTATCATATCATTTATATCATGACATGATATTGGTTGTGATAATATATAATTATAAGGTGTTTGATTAAGATTAACTGTTAATGTTAATGTAAAATTACATTGAAAATTATTTCCACCACCAATACATAAACGTTTTTGTACATAATCTTCACGATCTAAACGAGATTTTAATCGTATATATCCATTAATATATTCAAATGGTT